TTTCTATCTTTTCTCCTCTGTGGATATCCAGTGGGCCCAGCAGCATTTATAGAAAAGACCATGAAAATCAGCTGGCTGCAGATGCCTGAGCTAACTCACAGGCACTCAGTCCATTCTCCTGGTCCAACACACCTAACCATGTACCACATCTAGCCTGTACCACATTTTCTTCATTATCAAATTTGAAATTTCCAAAGTCTGAGTCCTTGAAATGCCTTCTTTTGCAAGACTCTTTTGCAAGGTCTCTTCTAGATCTTTTCAATTTCCATACAAATTTTAGGATCATCTTACCAATTTTTACAAAAAAGTAGCTGGAATTTTCATAGGAATTGCCATTTCTTTAGATTTTCCTTAATTTCTTCCAGTCATGTTGTATATAAATCTTATAGTTCTTTTGTTAAATTCAATCCTAAGTATTTTTTCTTCTTTAGGCTTTTATAAACGGGATTGTGTGCTTCACGGTTTTTTTTCCCCCTTAATATATAGTGGTGCAATTTTCATTCATCATACATCCTACAAGCATGCCAGATTCATCATTAGTTCTAATAAACTTTTTGGTGCTTATAATTTTTATATACTAGATTTTCCCATCTATGAAGTTTTGTTCTTTTCCATTCTGAATGACTTAAATTTCTTCTTAGCTCTGCCTAGAAACTGCAGTCCAGGATTAAAAACAGGGGCTGCAAATGTGGCGTAGTAGTAGTGCTTGCCTGGCATGCATGAAGTCCTGGGTTCAATTCCTCAGTACTATATAAACAGAAAAAGCCGACAGGGGTGCTGTGGTTCTAGCCTTGAGCAAAGGCAGCTCAGGAACAGTGCCAGGCACCTACTGGTTAAAAAAAAAAAGAGACTGTATTCATTCCAAATCCTCTGGGAAAGTGGTGGGCATGATGTTTGGTGTCTTTCACAGATGCCCTTGTTCAGACCTGGGAAATTCCTTTCTTTACCTAGTTTGTTATCATGAGAAGGTGTTGTGTTCTGACAAATACTTTGTGTGTCAGTTGAGGTGATCATTTAGGATTTCCCCCTTTATTCTATTTATGTGGTGTATTACTTTGTCACATGTTGAACCATCCTGGCATTCTGAGGATAAATCTTATTTGGTCACAGTATCTCATTCTGTCAATATAAATTGTTTCCTTGCATTGTGCTGTTTTGCATCTATGTTTATAAGGAATATTAGTATATAGGGAGTTTTGTTTGTGCTGTCTGGTTTTGGTGTTAGAAGAATGTTGCTCACATGGAAGTTAGAAAGTGTTCCTTCACCAATTTTTATTTATTACAGAAGCTGAGAAATTTTGTTGTTGTCTTGTTTTCTGGGCCAGTCCCGAGGCCTGGGTGCTATACCTGAGATTTTTTGCTTAAGGCTAGCACTCTCCCACTTGAGCCACAGCTCCACTTCCCACTTTTTGGTAGTTAGGAGGAGATAAGAATCTCAGTGACTTTCCAGCCCAGGTTGGCTCTGAATCATCATCTTCAGATCTTAGCCTCTTGAATAGCTAGGATTACAGGCAGGAGCCACTGGCACCAGCTCTTGGTGTTAGTTTTTTGTCAGTCGTGGAGCCTGAACTCTGGGCCTGGGCACTGTCCCTCAGCTCTTCAGCTCAAGGCTAGTACTGTACCACTTGAGCCACAGCACCACTTCCAGCTTTTTCTATTTATGTGGTACTGAGGAATTGAACCCAGTGCATGCAAGGCAAGCACTCTACCACCGAGCCACCTTCCCAGCCCCTGGTGTTAGTTGTTTCAAGTGTTGTAAATTCACCAGTGAAGCCTTTGTGTCTTGGGCTTTTCTATGTTAGGATTTTAAAATTTTTCTGATTAACTTTCCCTACTTATTAAAGGCTGACTCAGATTTTCTACTTCATATTCATTTTTCCTAGGAATTTGTCCTATTCATTTAGGTTATATAATTTGTTGACATGCAATTATTTATAGTATTGTGTATAGTCCTGTGACTTTGATTTTTCTATTGTCTATTTCACTTTCCAGTCTATCTCCTTCCATTTGCTTTGGATTGAACTTGTTCATTTCATCCTTTTTTTTACCTTTCTTAAAGGATGAGGGATTTGGTTATTGATTTGAGACTTTTTTAATAGATTATTCTCCATAGTGCTTCTGCCATTTCCCATGGGTTTTGGTATGTTATAGCCTCATTTTCATTTAAATCATTTTCTAATTTCCCTTGTGGATTTTTTAACCATTCATCATTTGTAAGTATGCCGCTTAATTTCCATATTTGTGAATTTCCCAATTTTCCATCAGTGATCTTCCATTTCAATCTCTGGTGATCAGAAAACACACTGCATATTATTTCAGTCCTTCTAGCTGCATAAGGCTATTTATTCATGGCTTAACATTTGGTGTATGCTGAAAGTGAACTTTGAGATCATGAACCATGCTGTTGCTGGACGCAGCATTCTACAGATACGTTAGGTCTAGTTGGTTTATAGTGTTAAAATTTGAGTCTTTTGTTTTCTCGATCTGCCTAGGTTTTTCATCCATGACTTTAAGCAGGATACTAAAAATTGTTGCATTGTCTCTCCCTTCAGTTCTGTCACTGTTTGCTTCATGTGTTTTGTCTTCTTGCTTTTTTGGGGTAAGTCCTGTTACACCACCCCAGCAGTTTGTACCTATGAAACTTCATAAGGAGCTTTGAGAATATGTGAGCTTTTCGGTTAAGTTCACTCTTGTTGTAGCTTCTAGGACACTTCAAGTGTGTTATTTTGATTCAATTTTCAGTAACCCCACTAGGTGGTTACCCCATTAGGTAGCTACTATTACTCTCCATTTTGAATAGGAGGCGACAGACATGGAGGAGTTAAATACCTTGCCAAAGGTCAGTATGCTAGCAAGTGAAAGCTGGTATTTATGTGCCAGCAGCTTGTCTCCAGAGTACTGCATGCTGACCCCTATGTTCTAGGCTGCCTCTCCTGGTGCCTGTTTCAAGTGTGGTCTCAATGTGTGGGAGCAGGAAGAGACCCTTACCTTATTCTAAACATTACTCTCTAATTAACACAACCCATGATGTGGTAGTCACATCATTTATAGATATTTAGACTGTTAATTGTATACCCAAACACTCCTCCTCCTCGTTCATCCTTCCTCTTAATGAATAACAGGATGGTGAACTCATGGCACCATCGCCAGTGCCAGGGATATAGTTCAACTGGCCAAAGGCCAAAGGCATCCACTTGATAACTTTATTGGTCCAGAAAAGAGTTTATACTGTGTTAGTCCAGTGAGAGCTGAAGGAACACTGACAATCTTCAGAGGAATTCATAGTCTTGCATACAAGGCAGCTTGTGCTGCTATAACAAAATGCCAAAAATGATGAAACATTTTCCCACAGTTCCAGAGTTGACAGTTCCTGGTGAGAGTTTCCTGCCTGGAAACTCTCTAACAGGCTCTGAGGAAGAGAAAAGGAGGTCTGGAGTGAAGTTTGAGGAGAGGGAAGAAAATCTACAAAGGCAGACATTCAGCCAAGGAAGACCAATTTGGACAGGCAGTATGAGCAGAAGCAAACCTGTCCCTTCTTCAAGAGGGAACACACATCAGCTCACCTAGTTTCTCTTTCAAAGTATTAATTTTAATACCAAGGGGGTATGCTCTTAAAATTGTACATCAAAAGTCAGAAAATACTATCACCAGAAATATACAAGTGCAAAACACAGACTTAAAAAGTATATACTGTGGCTAAAAACCACCTAAAGGGAACATTTGCTTCAGTGAGACAGCCTTGAGACCTGTGAGCCACTAAGCCCCCAACCATGGTAGTTTCTTATGGCAGCCTGAGCAAAGGCGTGCAGGCCTTGGCCTGAACAAACCCTCCCTCCTCCTTTCAGCCACTGGTGGACCTTCACCTGGTCGTACACAGAATACTACTTTGGGTTATCTACTTTCTACCCTGACAGGACAACTGTTTATCTGCCTTTTCTCAGCATTTCCTCCTGCTTCCACAGCTAACTTTGTCTTACAAAACACAGCTTAGAATCTGTCAATGGTCCAGTCTTCCAGGCAGATGTCATATGCTGGCAGTCAGTGGACCTGCTGGGGATTGGATAGTCACAGCCAGGAAAAAGAGGCGAGGGTAGAGAGGACAGCATGAGAAGACCTCAACACTATTATGTGGCTGCAGGGATACAGCACTTACCTGACCAGCAGCACACAGCCCCAGTTCAAACCTCAGTTCTGACAGACATGAACACTACACATACAGCCCAAAACTCACCATTATCTTGCAGTTTTCTGTAGTGGGTTAAATTGGATATGGATTCTGAGACTTAGGCTTTGATTACTTGGTAGTTCCTGTCTTATCATGGAACTTTAGAAGTAGAAAGGAAGAATACATCAAAATTGATGTGTTAGCTGGGCACAGGTGGCTCATACCTGCAATCCTAGCTACTCAGGAGGCTGAGATATGAGGACTGCCATTCAATGCCATTCTGGACAGTAAAGTCTGTGAGACTCATCTCTGATTAAACTTCCAGAAAACTGGAAGTGGTGCTGTGGCTCAAGTGGTAGAGTACTTGCCTTGAGCTGAAGAGCTCAGGGACAACACACAGGCCCAGAGTTAAGTCCCATGACTGACCCAAACAAACAAAAAACAAAAATCAATTTGTTTTGTTCTGTAGTGCTGGAACACTAGGCAGGGACTAGCACTGGACAGCCACAAGCTCATTCTTAATTCAGGAAACCAACATCTCCGGATATTTATACACTGAGCATGAAAAGCCAAAGGACTTTTATCCTTTCTCAAAGTCCTTTGACTCTCAAGGGTTAAGCAAGTTGAAAAGGATTTTGTTTTGCTTGTCTTATACTGGCCTGGACGCAGTCCCTCAGCTTTGGTGCAAAGGCTAGTGTGCTATCATTTGAGCTACAGCTCTACTTCCAGTGTTGGGGGTAGTTAATTGGAGATGAGACTCATGCACTTTCCTGCCTGGGGTGGCTTTGAATCCTGATCCTCAGCTTTCAGTCTCCTGAGCATGAGCCATCAGTACCTGGCTTTGCCTCATGTATTTTGTAAGAGAAACAAACACCTAAATAGGCTGACAACTCTACATTTAGCCTAATGACAACCTAGCTTTGATTAGCCTGCTTTTCTATACACAAGCTCTGAAAACTTTTCAACTAGTTATACATAAGCTCACATGATTCCACGCAGAAACTACAAGACTGGTAGGAAAGATATGCCAAAATGCATTTGTACAAAATCTAACACAGCTTCCCGGCTGGATATTTCTTTTCACATCTGGCGAAGATGAGGTTTTGGATTTATCTTCTGAGAAGTCAATGAACCCCGGCGGGGGGGGGGGGGGGGGGCGGGGGGGCACGGGGCCGGCGGGGGAGGCGGCGGGGGGCACGGGGCCGGCGGGGGAGGCGGCGGGGGGCACGGGCCCGGCGGGGGAGGCGGCGGGGGAGGCGGCGGGGGAGGCGGTGGGGGGCACGGGGCCGGCGGGGGAGGCGGTGGGGGGCACGGGCCCGGAGGGGGAGGCGGCGGGGGAGGCGGCGGGGGGCACGGGGCCGGCGGGGGAGGCGGCGGGGGAGGCGGCGGGGGGCACGGGCCCGGCGGGGGAGGCGGCGGGGGAGGCGGCGGGGTCCCGGGGCCGGCGAGGGAGGCGGTGGGGGGCACGGGCCCGGCGGGGGAGGCGGTGGGGGGCACGGGGCCGGCGGGGGAGGCGGCGGGGGGGGGCACGGGGCCGGCGGGGGAGGCGGCGGGGGGGGGGGCACGGGGCCGGCGGGGGAGGCGGTGGGGGGCACGGGCCCGGAGGGGGAGGCGGCGGGGGAGGCGGTGGGGGGCACGGGCCCGGCGGGGGAGGCGGCGGGGTCCCGGGGCCGGCGGGGGAGGCGGTGGGGGGCACGGGCCCGGCGGGGGAGGCGGTGGGGGGCACGGGGCCGGCGGGGGAGGCGGCGGGGGGGCACGGGCCCGGCGGGGGAGGCGGTGGGGGGCACGGGCCCGGCGGGGGAGGCGGCGGGGGGGCACGGGGCCGGCGGGGGAGGCGGCGGGGGGGGGGGCACGGGGCCGGCGGGGGAGGCGGCGGGGGAGGCGGTGGGGGGCACGGGCCCGGCGGGGGAGGCGGCGGGGGGCAAGGGCCCGGCGGGGGAGGCGGCGGGGGGCAAGGGCCCGGCGGGGGAGGCGGCGGGGGAGGCGGCGGGGGGCAAGGGCCCGGCGGGGGAGGCGGCGGGGGGCAAGGGCCCGGCGGGGGAGGCGGCGGGGGAGGCGGCGGGGGGGGGGCACGGGGCCGGCGGGGGAGGCGGCGGGGGGGGGGCACGGGGCCGGCGGGGGAGGCGGTGGGGGGCACGGGCCCGGAGGGGGAGGCGGCGGGGGAGGCGGTGGGGGGCACGGGCCCGGCGGGGGAGGCGGCGGGGTCCCGGGGCCGGCGGGGGAGGCGGTGGGGGGCACGGGCCCGGCGGGGGAGGCGGTGGGGGGCACGGGGCCGGCGGGGGAGGCGGCGGGGGGGCACGGGCCCGGCGGGGGAGGCGGTGGGGGGCACGGGCCCGGCGGGGGAGGCGGCGGGGGGGCACGGGGCCGGCGGGGGAGGCGGCGGGGGGGGGGGCACGGGGCCGGCGGGGGAGGCGGCGGGGGAGGCGGTGGGGGGCACGGGCCCGGCGGGGGAGGCGGCGGGGGGCAAGGGCCCGGCGGGGGAGGCGGCGGGGGGCAAGGGCCCGGCGGGGGAGGCGGCGGGGGAGGCGGCGGGGGGCAAGGGCCCGGCGGGGGAGGCGGCGGGGGGCAAGGGCCCGGCGGGGGAGGCGGCGGGGGAGGCGGCGGGGGGCACGGGGCCGGCGGGGGAGGCGGCGGGGGGCACGGGGCCCGGCGGGGGAGGCGGCGGGGGAGGCGGTGGGGGCCCGGCGGGGGAGGCGGCGGGGGGCACGGGCCCGGCGGGGGAGGCGGCGGGGGAGGCGGCGGGGGAGGCGGTGGGGGCCCGGCGGGGGAGGCGGCGGGGGAGGCGGCGGGGGGGGGGGGGGGCACAGGCCCCGCGGGGGACCTCGCGTTGCCTTCTGGTTGTTTTTTTCAGGACAAAGGTTTTGCTGTGGACCCCAGGTTGGTCTTGAATTCGTTACCCTGTGGCCTCGCTGGGATTACGGAGGACGGTCGGGCTTCCTCACCGCGTGGCCTGGCTGGGAGTCCCCGGATGTTTAAAGCCGATCAACAGCCGATGGCGTCGGAGCATCACCACTGAGTCGGGCCCCTCCGGCGCCGACGGCCCGCACCGGACCGGGCCACCCCGCACCGGACCCGGGCCACCGCGGACCCGGGCTACCCCGCACCGGGCCACCCCGCACCGGGCCACCGCGGACCGGGGCCACCCCGCACCGGGCCACCGCGGACCCGGGCCACCCCGCACCGGACCCGGGCCACCCCGCACCGGACCACCCCGCACTGCACCCGGGCCACCCCGCACCGGACCGGGCCACCCCGCACCCGGCCACCCCGCGGCGCCGCGCGCTCGCCGAGCCCTTCCGCCCGCGTCTCCGCCCGGGCCCGCCCGCCCGCGGCGGGAGCCCCACCGGACCGCCCCGAGCCTCGGACGCCCCGAACCCCACGAGCGCCTCGGCCACAACTGGCGCGAAAAACGCCTCAAATGCGGACCGCGGCCGGCACGGGACCGACGCGCCCCCGCGGCCGTCACGAACGCCCGCGCCGCGGCTACGTACGCGCGTGCGTGAGAACCAGGCGTTGCTCCCGCCGGGCGTTCCTAAGGAGCTACGCGCATGCGCCGCGTGACGTCCCAGCGTCCACGGAAGGCGGCGGTGCCGCCTGAGCTCTGCCGCGCTTGCGCAGTGCCCAGACGCGGGCGTTTCTTTCCTTTTTCTTTGCCCCCTCCCCCCGGAATTGATTTTAAGCTTAGATGCGAGTTACAAAATGGCGGTGCGGAGCGCGCTCGTGGCCGGTCCCCCAGCGATCTGCGTCTGAGCGGCCGTCCGGCCCCCGGGGACATGGTGTTTGAGACCCCAGGCCTGCCGACCATCAAGTCCTCCCAGGCTCCCAGCGCCCCGGAAGCGCCCGGCCGCAGCCGCGGACTCGCGTGCGGACGCCGCCGAGCTGCGGCGGCCTCCGGGAAGGTGAGGGCGGCGGGCCGGGCCGGGGCGGCCGGGCGGGCGGCGGGAGGAAGGGGCGGGGCCGCCGACGCGCCCGGCCGCCGTTTGCGGGGCCGCCCGGGGCCCGCGCTGCCCGGGGGCCGCCGCCCCGCGCCCCGCGCCCCGCCGAGCGGCTCGGGCCGGCGGTTCCCGGCGCGCCCCGGCCATTGTCCGGTCATAACGCGTGGGGCTCGCCGTTCTCCCGCCGGCCCCGCGTCACCGCCGCACCCCGCGGCCCCCTTGCTCGCACGTGCGCCCCGCCAGCCCGGGAGAGTGTGCCGGGAGCCCCGGGCCCGCCCCAGCCGTGACGGAGGCTCCGCAGCGGCCGTAGCGAGCGGGTCGGCGCCGCCGGGCCCGAGGGGCCGCGCAGGCCGCGGGGCCGGGAGAGGCCCGGGAGAGGCCCGGGCGGCAGCCGCGGGGCCGGGAGAGGCCCGGGAGAGGCCCGGGCGGCAGCCGCGGGGCCGGGAGAGGCCCGGGCGGCTGGCAAATGCGCTGCCCGGCCGAGGTGCTCCGCCTCCGGTCTGAGTCTCGGGGAGAGGTGGGTGTCAGGCCGGGAGCTGCCCGCTGACTTTCCCACCACGTCCGCCCCGCAGGTGGGGGCCGGCCTCGGAGCGGGAGCGCCGGCCCCGCGCGCTCCGGGCGCCCCGCGCGCAGCCCGGTGGTGCTGCCCTGACCGACGGACCCGCGGGGGCCGGCCTGCGAGCTGAGCGCGTTCGGGGCCCCGGGGCTACGCGTTAAAACCGAGACCCGCCCCCCCCGCCCCCCCCCCCCCCCCCCGTTATCCACCGACTTGATCAACAGCGAACGGAGCCGCGTGTGCCGGCCGCGTGTGCCGGGCCGCGTGTGCCGGCCGCGCTCGCCCCTCCCGCAGCCGCGTGTGCCGGCCGCGTGTGCCGGGCCGCGTGTGCCGGGCCGCGTGTGCCGGGCCGCGTGTGCCGGCCGCGTGTGCCGGGCCGCGTGTGCCGGGCGCGCTCGCCCCTCCCGCAGCCGCGTGTGCCGGGCGCGCTCGCCCCTCCCGCGGCCGCGTGTGCCGGGCGCGCTGGCCCCTCCCGCAGCCGCGTGTGCCGGCCGCGTGTGCCGGGCGCGCTCGCCCCTCCCTCGGCCGCGTGTGCCGGCCGCGTGTGCCGGGCGCGCTCGCCCCTCCCGCAGCCGCGTGTGCCGGGCGCCCTCGCCCCTCCCGCGGCCGCGTGTGCCGGGCGCCCTCGCCCCTCCCGCGGCCGCGTGTGCCGGGCGCGCTCGCCCCTCCCGCAGCCGCGTGTGCCGGCCGCGTGTGCCGGGCCGCGTGTGCCGGCCGCGTGTGCCGGCCGCGTGTGCCGGCCGCGTGTGCCGGGCCGCGTGTGCCGGGCGCGCTCGCCCCTCCCGCGGCCGCGTGTGCCGGGCGCGCTCGCCCCTCCCGGGCCGGCGCCCTCGACCTGCTCCGCGCTCGCCTTCAGTCCCACCCCGCCCGCTTTGTGTTCAGTCCGGGCTCTTGTCGGTACCGTTCCCGTTACCCCCTCGCCCTCTGGTGGAGATGCCCCTGAACGAACTGGAAAACTGCCAAAAGAATGCACGGGTGCAATCGGGAAGAATCTCATCTCCTCCTGCACTGGAAACCGGAGTCTAGAAGGAGAATTCTCGGTTAATGACAGCGTAGTTATTAAATGCCCTACGTTGTCTTTTGCGGTGTTGGCCTTTAAAATCATTTTTAAGCCAGACAAAGTATGAGGAGAATGACTAGAATGTACCAAAAGCCGAAGCCTCGAGGGAGTCGCGGTCGCTTTTTGTTTTTTGTCGTCCTTGGGGGAATTAAGGGGAAGCACGGAGAGAGACGGAAGGGCGAGCCGACAGACACTGTGGAGCAGGAGCTCTGCAGGTTACCGGCGGGACGGGGGTAAAGCAGAGCCAAGGGTGACAAAAGAAATGGACTCCCCACCTGACTTAGGAAATGCTAACGCCTCTGCACCACACCTTAATAATAAGCATCAGCCCTTGAAGGGCTGGGCGTCACTCTGTCTGTGCGCGGCACAGCAGCAGGTGGTATGTAAGTTCCTGTCCTGTGTGTGTGTGTGCTAGCACTGGAACTCGGGGCCTGGGCAGGGCCCCTTGTATTTTTTGCTCAAGGCTGGCACTCGGCCGCTTGAGTCACAGCCCGTTCACTGTTGGCTGGTCCACTGGAGATGAGTCATGACCTTTCTTGCTTGGGCTGGCTTCAAACTGCTATTCTCAGATCTCAGCCTGCTGAGTAGCTAGAATTACTGGTGTGTAGCAGGCTTACTCTAGTGGGTTGAGTTTCTGAGGGCAAATGAATGAGGAAGGAAGCCTGGCAAGTGTGGCAAGCCCTGCCGGGTGAGGGGTGTTTTCTTGTCCCTTAGGAGTGACTGCTCTCAGTGGGTTCTAGCATTTCGGTTTTTCTTTTGTTATTGATACTTATTTACAACAAAGGATATAATTCTCCCAACTCCAAACTCTTCCTCTAATGCCATGGTCTTGAGAGAGTTGAATTGAGAGTCTGGAAGTATTAGACATTCTTTGAGTGTTAACCCGTCCACCTTGGTACTTCGAGTTCCTGAATGGTGGCTTAGCTTTGCCTAGTGCACCTTTTGGAACAACTAAATCTTAGGACACATGGGATTAATCATGTGGTAGGCTAAAAAAGAGTACTCACGTGTGAAAGTATTTCTAGTGTCTTATCATTAAAGTGCTTACCTAGGATACACTAATATATAATCTTTAAGAATAATTTTTAAATATGAAAAATGCTTACAGCCAGGTACTGGTGGCTCACACATAGCTACTTAGGAGATCTAAGAGTTGCAGTTCCAAAGCTAAGCTTAAGCAAGAAAGTCCATGAGACTCTTACCTCCAGTAACTACTGAAAACCAGAAATAGAGCTGTGGCTTACAGGGTAGCATGCTAGCCTTAAGCAAAAAAAAAAAAAAAAAGCTCAGAGACAGCACCTAGGTCCTGAGTTCAAATCATGGGGGGGAGGGAGCCGAGCATCGGTGGCTCATGCCTGTAATCCTAGCTACTCAGGAGGCTGAGATCTGAGGATCACGGTTCAAAGCCAGCCGGTGCAGGAAAGTCCTTGAGACTCTTATCTCCAATTAACCACCAGAAAACTGGAAGTGCGCTGTGGCTCAAGTGGTAGAGCACTAGCCTTGAGCTGAAGAGTTCAGGGACAGTGCCCAGGCTCAGAGTTCAAGCCCTGCCTCCAACAAAATAAAAGTTTTACTTGTGGCAAAAATGACTGTAAATGTAACTTTCATAGAGTAAGTTCACCAAGTGCTTAATAACTATACTGTACCATACAGATATTCTAGATTAAATTTTTTTTTTCTGGTGGTACTGGGATTTGAACTTAAGGCTTCACTCTTGTTAGGTAAGCATTCTCCCACTTGGACTATGCCTCTAGCCTAAGACTAGGTAGAAATCAGTGGCTGAATCTTTTTGATGGAGCTTGGCTGAGGGTCGTTCAGGAAGAGAGCCAGTGTTCCTCTTCCCACAATCCTTCACTGGCGCGTAGCCGTGGAGCCTTACACCCCGTCCTAAACCTCTTGGTGCCATCTTCATTGGCATCAGGAATGTTCTGGTTCATGGAGAGGTGACCTTCTTTTTTTAAACATATGTTAGTTGTACATGGAGGTTTCATTAGGACATTTCCACGGGTGTACACAGTGTCCCCCTCGATCTCTGTCCTTCCCCTACCTCCTCAAAACATTGACCAGGTTTCATTGTCTTGTTTCACTCGTGCAAGCCACATTGGTCTTACTGCCCTCGTTAACCTGCTCCTGCTCCTGACCCCTCCTCCACAGAACCTGTTTCACTCTTCTGTGTTTTTTTTTCATGTGTGTTAATTGCACCAGGAGGTTTTGCCATAGTATTTCATCTGTGCATGTGTTAAATTTTGTTCAGATAACCCTCTTAAGGCTTTCTCTTTCTCTGTTCCCAGTCCCTGTCTGCAGCTTTCATTAAAATCTCCTGTGCTGTCTTCATATCATTACATTGGATATAAAACTTAAACTTTTTGTTCTTGTTTTTTAGATTCGAAAAAATGGCCAAAAGAATTGCCGAGAAGGAGTTGACAGATAGGAACTGGGATCAGGAAGATGGTGCTGAAGAGGTAAAAGCGGTTTCCTTTCCCGAAGAGCAGTGCTTTTTAATGTGTCTCCATGTAAATTATTTTGGAATTCCCCCAAAGACAGACAGTAGGATGCAGACATGATCAGCATGTGGACAGAAGCGTGTCAGTGCTTTGACCCTGCTCACAGCACTTGGCTCTTCATTCAGTGTGCTGTCCACTAGCACCTGTCTGGAACTGACTGCTTTGCAGGAATGTCTTCCTCCAGAATTTCATACAGTGGGGACACTCAGGTCCATGGTCCGCTGTCACCATGTTGCTGTGCTGTCCTTTGATTTTAGAGATTGCCTCCCCTGCTCTGAGGCTCTTCTGCTGCTGTATTTGCAGTTCTAGGATCACAGCAGGTGAGGAGTATGAGTAGCAGATCAGCATGGTTTTTTCTTCCCCAGCTGGATCAAAGGTTTGTATGGAAGGACTCTATTTTTTTCCTCTTAGAACACAGGCTAGACATGGTGCCAAGCACCTTTCGTCTCCGCAGGAAGGTCAAGGCCTGCCTGGGCTGCTTAGCGGGGCTGTTACGAAGTAGAGCACAGCTGCAATCTGGGGTTCCATTGGTAGTTTGATATTCTTTTTTTTTTTTTTGTCGGTCGTGGGTTTTGAACTCTGGGCTTGGGTGCTGTCCCTGTGCTCTTCAGCTCAAGGTGAACGTTCTACCGCTTGAGCCACAGCACCACTTCCGGTTTTCTAGAGTCTCACGGACTTTTCCTGCCCAGGCTGGCTTTGAACCACAATCCTCAGATCCTAGCCTTCTGAGTAGGATTACAGGTGTGAGCCACTGGAGCCTGGCCTAGTTTGATATTCTTAAGCTGGTTTACTAAGGAACTCTGTAGCAAGTTAACCTTTTAAATTAATAATGGTGTTTAAAAAAAATAAGTCTGTAGAAATGTTTCTGAACTTTTTTTTTTTGGCAGTATTGGGGTGTAAAATGAGGATTTTATGCTTGCTAAGCGGTAAAGGCTCAACCACTTGACCATGTTCCCAGCTCTACGCTGATAAGTTCTTTTAATATTAACATGTTGTTGCTTTGGAAGGATACCGGTTCTGTATGTTCTGATTGATAGGGTTTTTATTGTTGTATTTTTTCTTTTTAAATTCAAGGCCTCATGCTCAAGTGGTTTGTTGGTCTAGCACTTTATCACATGAGCCTGTCAGGGTAAGAGGGTGTGTGCCCTCCTTGGATTTGAACTCAGGGCCTGGGCTCTGTCCCTGAGCTTATTTTGCTCTACTACTGAGCCACAGCTCCACTCTTTTTGATGTCTAATTGGAGATGAGTCTCACAGACTTTCTTGCCCAGGCTGGCTTTGAACTGCAGTTCTCAGATTTTAGCCTCCCGAGGAGCTAGGGTTACAGGAGTGAGCCACTGGTGCTTGGTGGCAGCAAAATTTCATTGTAAACTTTATCACTAATATCTGAGAATGTATATCTGAACTACTTAAAGATCTGCACCAAAGTTGTGATCTTTCTAGAGCTGTTGTTGACACGCCCCTCTTTCCGAATTGGGACTTAAACCTGTATTTGTAGATTCTCAGTCACAGTCTGCCTTACTCAAGTTGGGATCCACAGGAATCCATGGATGATAGCAGTGAGTCCTCTTAGCGCGGCTCGGGACCTTGTGTTTCCAGTACACGAAGCCTCCTGTTAGGAGACTGGCCTGTCTAGCGCCTACCGCTCCCTTGACCTGACCTCTGCCGTGTGGTTTGTGCCCTTGCAGGTGGGAACATTCTCGGTGGCCAGTGAAGAAGTATTGAAGAGCCGAGCCATAAAGAAAGCCAGGCGCAGGCGTGTTGGGTTTGAAGTGAGTGCTGTTTCATACTTTGCTCCTAAAACTAATGTGGCTTCTGAGTTGCGGACTGTTGTGTGCCTCTCAGAGCAGTTGGTACGCGACAGATGCTTCCCCCCCAAATGTTTACTCCTGGCCAGGCACAAGTGGTTCATACCTGCAATTCTGGCTATTTAGGAGGCTGATACCTGAGGATCAAGGTTCAAAGCCAGCCCAGGCAAACTGTCCATAAGATTTTTTTTTTGGGGGGGGGGCAGTCAATTATCTCCAGTTAACCACTAAAAAGCTGGAAGTGGAGGAGTGGCTCAAGTGGTAGCGTGCTAGACTTGAACGAAAAGGCCAAGCAAGAGCCTGAGGCCCTGAATTCAAGTCCTAGTACCAGTGCCAAAAAATGAAACACTTGTATAGATGTAGGAAATGGAAAAAAAAATGGTGGTGGGATCCGTCCCTTTAAGGGTCCCCCCAGTTCAGGGGAGGTGAATTTATGCTGGGGGACCAGTTTCAGAGGAAGAGGGAGGCTTGCAGAGCAGAGGGCAGGAAAACTGTCAGATGTGATAAGAAGGCACACCGAGCAGAGCTGTGTTTGCAGCGGTGGGTGTGGCCGTCTTGGCCGGTTTTCTCTCGTGCGGTGGTGCAGTGTAGAAGATGCTTCCTTCCTGTGCTCAGGTGGATGGATTGGCACTCTAATTGCATCTGTGCTCAGTATTCAGAAGTCACACTCCCCCCAACACACACACGAACTCCTCTTGGTCTGTGCCTTCTCCCTCGTTATCTGGACCTAGAGTGGTTTTGTCCCGTCCCTGGGCCTCTGCTGAGGCCTGTTGCAGAATAAATACTGCTTTCCTTTCCTTTGCAGTGTTCAGGTTCTTTTCTTTTTCTTTTCGGTGGAGCTGTGGTTTGAACCTGGCTTCACATTTCACTGGGCGGGTGGCGGTTCTATCGCTGAGCCATGCCTCCAGCCCGCAGTGGCTGAATTTTGTCTGGTTTAGTTGGGTTTTTGTGTGCCACTGAGGCTTGAACTCAGGGTCTTTCACTCTCAAGTTCTTTTGCTCACTGGGCTTTTTCATTCAAGGCTGGTATTCTACCATTTGAGCCACATCTCCAGTTTTGGCTTTTTGCTAGTGCGTCTCATGGTTCGGTCTGTCCAGACGGCTTCGCACCACTGGCACCAGCCCTGGTGGTTCACACCTGTGGCCCTCACTGTTGGCAGCTGGGATCTGAGGACCGCAGTTCAAAGGCATTTTTAGTTCATCTAGCCGGTACTTCTGAAGGCTGCTTCAGGCATTTGGGGAAAGTGCATGGCATTTAGTTGTTGAGAATGTTTTGAATTACTTTGAGGTTGTGTGATAGGTAGCTGAGTTTATCACAGTAATCCTTGTTTTTATGCATATATAGTGCTTTTGAGCGCTACTAGGGTTTGAACTCAGGACTTAAAACACTGGCCAGACAAACCCTCTACCCTATAACTCCCCCCAGCCCTCCTTAACACAGCTGTAGACATATTTCAGCATAGAAGATCGCCTTGGCTATTTGAGTGAGGGTTTGGACCAGGCCTTCCTGGGGAGGGCGCGAGGCGTCGCCGCCGCTGTCTCTGCCGGCGCAGCGTGCCAGGCTGGCAGCGCTGATCCCGTCTGGGGCTGGGTGCTGTTGTCACTCACCCTGCTTTATGCCAGCCACGTATCTGCCCGCCTAACAGGTGCTCTTTCTTCTTTTCAGTCCGATAGTGGAGGGGCCTTTAAAGGTTTTAAAGGTTTGGTTGTGCCTTCAGGAGGAGGAGGGTTTTCTGCATTTGGCTGTGCTGGAGGGAAGCCTCTGGAAGGATTGTCGAATGGAAACAGCTCGCCCAGTGCCCCTTCCTTGGGCAGTGCCAGGGCGGCGGCAGAACCCAAGGCGGCCTTTGGTGAGTAGGCGTGCCCCAGGTTATAGGTGACTTGCTAGAGATGTGTTTAACCTGGGCTATGGGAGCGAAGGGCTGGGTCCTTGGGAGAGCTGGGCCACATGCAGAGCCCAGACCCGCTTGGTTCTGCTTCCTGCTTCTGGGCAGCTTGGGGCAGGCGTAGAGGAAGTACCCGGTAGTCACTCTGTCCATTCTCTCCACATGCATCGGAGCTTTCTGTGTGCCTTGCTGCTGGCACCGCGGGCGCCCCCACACATGGGCCTGGCCAGAGCCCCCAGACCAGCCGGGAGCGCAAGTGTCGATCTGGGCTCTCGTGTTGAGTGAGATGGTCCTCAGGAGCTGCTGGGGTTCTTGTAGGCAGCGATCCTGTGGCGGGGCTAAGACAGGACCCTGCCCTGGGTTGCCGCGGGCCCGCAGCGAAGGTGCCTGCTACGGCCTGGTCTCTGCTGAGCCAGGGGTGCAGTGCGCTTGGGTTCGGGTCACTCCCAATTCTAGTGTGACTGAGCTTGGTGTGAAAAGCCACAGACAGCGCCAGGCCTGAGATAAAGCACCAGCCCCCCCCCCCCCCCCATAAAAGACGCGCTGTAAAGCAGCGTCTAAATACGTTGTCCAAACTTTAATTCCCTCCAGGTCCTTTTGCTGTAAATGGCCCTGTAAAAATGGATGCAAACGTTCCCCCCCCCCCACACCCCCCCCAATAAAAGACGCTCTGTAAAGCAGCGTCTAAATTGTCCAAACTTTAATTCCCTCCAGGTTCTTTTGCTGTAAATGGCCCTGTAAAAATGGATACAAACGTGTCCGACCCCAAGGCCAATGGCAGAGGCGCGCAGCCCTCCTCCTCCTCCTCGTCCTTCTCCTCCTCCTCCTCCAGCTCCACCAAAGCTGGCACCGGGAGTGCCTACCGAGAGCAGCTGGCGTCCCTCAACTGCTCGGTGCGGGACTGGATCGTGAAGCACGTGGACACGAACCCCCTCTGTGACCTGACGCCCATCTTCAAGGACTACGAGAAGTACCTGGCGGCCATCGAGGAGCAGCACGAGAGCAGCAGCAGCAGCAGCCATTCGGAGAGTGACGCCGCGGGTGGGTCGCTGCACGCCCCGCCCCCTCCCTCGTTTGGGTCAGCGAAACTACAGCAGGAGGGCACGTTTCTGTTGCACAGCAGTCAGACTGAGACCACATCAGAAAAGAAGAGGGAGGCTGCGTCGGAAAAGAAAGTCGAGCCGGGACAAGGAGCAGCAAGTGCCTCATTCAACGTCGGCAAGCAAGTCGGTAGCTCGGTTCTGGGCTCGCTGAGCTCTGGGCCCCTCACTGGATTTTCATTTCCCCCTGGAAACTCCGGTTTTTTTAGTAAAGATACTACTCAGAGCCAATCGGTTTCTTCGCCATTTCCTGCTAAAACCTCCGAGAGCCCGACGGAAGGCGGCGTTAGTCATGAATGCAAAGGTAAACGAGGCTTGTCCTTGGGAAGCCCCGCCTGTTTCGCTGCTGTGGGGCCGTCGCTGGGGCGTCGCTGGGGCGTCCCGCCCTCACGGGGCTTTTTCCTCTGGGTTTGCTCTACTACTTGCACCGCAGCTCCGCTGCCGCCTTATTGTGATTAGTTGGAGAGCCTCATGGATTGGTGGATTTGTCCGCCGCTCTGGTCAGATCTCGGCCTCCTGAGTAGGATTACAGGTGTTTGCCACCATTGCCCATCCTCAGAGGTTTTACATGTAAGTTTTGTTTGTTTGGGTTTTTTTTTTTTTTTTTGCCTGTCATGGGGCCTGAACTCTGGGTCTGGGCGCTGTCCCTCAGCTCTTCAGCTCAAGGCTAGTGCTCTACTACTTGAGCCACAGCGCCAGTTCCGGCTTTTTCTGTGTATGTGGTGCTGAGGAATCGAACCCAGGGCCTCATGCTTGCAAGGCAAGCACTCTACCACTGAGCCACCTTCCCAGCCCTACATGTAAGTTTTATATGGGGAAAGCACAGGCTTTGAGGGCAGATCTGGATTTACACTGTGTGTGTTCCACTGCTCAGAGTGGTACAAGTAAGCCTGTTCTCTAGGGTGGTTACAAGACTTAAGAATAGAAAATGAAGCCGGGCACTGGTGGTTGATGCCTGTAATCTGAACTACTCAGGAGGACTCATAGCCAGCTGGAGCAGGAAAGAAAAGCTTTAGAGACTCCTTCTCTAATTATCCAGCGAAAAGTTGGGCTAGAGGCATGGCTGAAGTATTTCACCAGCTGTGAGTTGAAAAGCTAAGCGACACTGTGTGAAGATAACGCGGCCAAACCCACTGAGTACGTTTGTAAAGAGGGAGGAAGGGCTAAGGGTTTCCTGGAGGAGGTGAAGTTGTTCAGAGTACAGTGTGCCCATCCATGGCTAGCTCTCACTGAAGCCACTGTGTGCAGTTACTGTGAACTAAGAAAAGCCAAGCAAGTGAGAAGCCCCCTGCAGTTATCAGCACAAAACACAGCAAGTGAGGCCGGAGAGACCCGTCAGTGGCCAGCGCTTGGCTTACTGCGGGCGGGCGGGGCTCGGGTCAGCCCCTTCCCCACATGCGCAGAAAAGCGATCAGCTCACGCCTCAGAGCCTTGATTTGAAAAGCTCGGCATCAGCGTGAATTCCCCCACGTTGGTTTATATTCTGGAGATCTGACCAGATAAATGACCGGGCTCCACTAGAAGGCTAGCTTGTCCAGTGTTCCCACGGGTCTGCACGCAGCTTCCCTTGGGGAGGGTCTTGCTAATGCGCCCGTTCTGTGTGATCAGTGCCTCAGGCCAGCAGAAGGCCAGGCCTTAACCCCCAGCCTCTGTACCCTGTTCTTAGCTCTCAGGCGCCTGCTCGTGGGCCTGTGAGGGGCGGGCCAGGCTCACCGCTTGTCTCTGCGGTACTGCTGTCTGTCCGGTGGCGCTCCTCCATGCTGGCTTGGCGTCTTCCCTACACGAGCCCCACGCAGGCTTGTGGCGGCGGCGGCAGGATCACAGCGATGCTTAATCCAAAGGAGCCTGCCGTGCAGGTCGCCGTGTGCCCACAAGACAGCCTGGGCGCAGCTCCCCAGAGCGCTCCGCTCCACTGCGGAGATTTTCATCAACGGTGGCTCTGGCTTGTAATCCTCACTACTTAGGAAGCTGAGATGAGTGTCTCAGTTCAAAGTCGGCTTAGGCAGGAAAGCCCATGAGACTCTGATCTCCAGTGAACCACCAGAAAACCAGAGGTGGTGCTGTGGCTCAAGTGGTAGAGCACTTGCCTTGAGCAGCGCCCAGGCCCTGACTTCAAGCAAAACAAAACTCCCAGGGGATGCTAGGCCTCCGCGCTTCATCCTCCGACAGCTTAGATCCATGACGGAAGCCCCCCGAGCTGTTACAGAACCCCTCAGGAGGACCGTGGTATCCTCTGCCACAGAGGCGAGCCTCCGCCCAGCGGCCTACGCCGCGAGCCCTGGCTTGAGCGGTTTCTCGGGCAGCCGCCATTCCCATTGGCCCTGGCACTGCTGGTTCTGGGGTCCCTAGCGCTGTGGGATTGGGGGTCATGGAGCCTTCAGAGATGGAGGGCGAGAAGGCCTCGGAGGTGTCCGTTGGATGGTGTTTCGCAGGCCTTCGGAACCCCAGGGCCGCCTCCCTGAGGAGACCGGACTCCGTGTCCGGCGTCTGTCCCGCTCCGGGCAGCGCGCCGGCGTGCTTCTGCTCTTGGCACGTGTCGGTGTGGCTCACCAGCTTGTCGTTCTGTGCCAGGTGGGGACGAGGAGGAGAGTGACGAGCCCCCCAAGGTGGTGGTGATTGAGGTGAAGGAAGAAGATGCTTTCTACTCCAAAAAGTAAGTGGGCGCACTTTCTGTGACTTCAGCTGTCTCTCGGCTTTGAAAATGCTTCAGACAAGGATGTTTCCAGAATCCTCTTCTCACCGTCTTCTCCGTGCCCCCCCACCCCTTCTTCCCCCACAAAGAAAGTCACCGTGTTCCTGCTGGTGGGTTGTGTTCACTTCTGCTCCTACGGGACGCACCCGACCCTTGCTGATGCGGCTCCTCCAGTGGCGGGAGCTGTTGGTTTTGGTTTTGGGGTCTTTTTTGAAAATCTTGGTGACTCTGCCCCTTGAGTCATGTCCCTGCTCTGTTTTGTTTGAAAGGGTCTCTCATTTTTGCCTGGGGCCGGCCTTGACCACAATCCTCCTACCTATAGCCTCCCTTGTAGGCGGGATCGAAAGTATACCACCAGTCAGCTTGTTGGTTGAGATGGGGTCTCACTAACTTTCTAAGCTGGCCCAAACACAGCCCTTCAGATCGCCACCTCTAGAGGAGCTAGAGTTTATAGACATGTTTGTTGGCTAATTTAAAATGAAAGTTGCCTCTTAACAGCTGGAAGGGAGATTTGATCTTCCTAACTAAATGAGATTACTTTGTATATACGTACTTAGTACGTATGCATACTTCCTGTTTGGAAGCTTTCCAGGCTAGGTTTTCTAATAAAAACTTTGGAAGCACAGGTCAACAGTTTTTCCTTTAACAAGTCACATCCTATAACATTTATTTTGAGAGCTTTGAAGAGACTAACAGTTACTTTAATTTCAATTGCCTGGCTGACCAGGACAAAATGTTTTGGTTTGTTTTGTTTTCTGTCCAGAAGGAGAGATATATAGGGAGTGTTGTGACTGCTGGCGACTCCGGCACAGTTCCTGGAGTCTCATTGCTTGGGCCCTGCCTGAGAGTATTTTCTCGCTCATTGTTTTGGGAAGTCAGAAACGGAAGGATCTGGGCTGGGAAGGAGGCTCAGTGGTAGAGTGCTTGCCTCACATGCCTGAAGCCCTGGGTTTGATTCCTCAGCACTACATAAATAGAAAAAGCTGTGGCTCAAGTGGTAGAGTGCTAGCCTTGAGCAAAAGAAGCTCAGGGACAGTGCCCATGCCCTGAATTCAAGCCCTTGACTGGCAAAAAAGAAAAAGGTTGGAGGATCCCTGAAGAGAACTTGGCACAGCAGAACACGTGTGTGGCAGGGATTCACAAGGCAGGATGGGCCTGCTGCTGTCCTCAGGCCTGGCCTGAGCACTCACACGAGCGAGCGCTGTGTAGCTTTTATTACTCTATACCCATAAAGACTGGTTTTCTGCTCTGATTTAATACAGACTTGGCCACGCAAGTGGACATAACCGCTGTTAGAAGACTGACTTGTTCTTGAATTGGGGTCATGCTTCTTTTTCCACACAGGTGTAAACTATTTTACAAGAAAGACAATGAATTTAAAGAGAAAGGTGTGGGCACCTTGCATCTAAAGCCTACAGCAAATCAAAAAACGCAGCTACTAGTGCGGGCCGATACCAATCTAGGTGAGTACCTTGATTATTCCATGGTTTTATCGTTATTACTGAGCGGCTGTAGAGGGTTGCGGTTTGGCAGTGCGCACGTGAGCGGCACCCCTTCCTTTGCTCCCCCACGTGGATGGCTGCCTTTGTGTCAGGTGTTGCCGGACGGAGCCTTTCCCTCCCTGGTTTCAGTCCTCGAGAGGGCGGAGGATGGCAGGAAACACGCCCCGCAGGCAGAGGAGCAGGTGGTGGTGCCATCCTCCACCAGGTCTTACAGGAAAACCCACAAAGGCATCATTTTTGTTTCCTGTGGCCTGACGCATTGGTAAAGACGCATTTGCAATAGCTGCTGTTACAAACGTGGCTCTTGCCCGCAGCCCTTGCTGGGCTCATGCCAGGCGTTGGCTTATGGGTGTCCTGGAGCTTGGAGTCAGGGCCTGGGTTGCTGCCCCTCAGCTTTTTTGTTCTCACTCGGGCCCTGCCGCTTGGGCCACGGCTCTGCTTCCTGCTTTTTGGTGGTTCATTGGAGATAAGAGTCTCAGACTTTTCTGCCTGGGCTGGCTTTGAACTGTGATCCTCAGATCTCAGCTTCTTGAGCAGCTAGGATGACAGGCGTGAGCCACCGGCGCCCGGCTGGCTTCCAGTTTTGCATGCAAGGTGCATCCAAGAGTAGAAGCCGCTCCAACCTGTCCTCACGCCTTTCTCCAGCTGTGCTTCGGGATTCGATGTGCGTCTCCTGTGTTGTCTTACTGCAGGCAACATACTGCTCAACGTCCTGGTCCCACCCGGCATGCCATGCTCCCGGACAGGGAAGAACAACGTGCTGATCGTCTGCGTCCCCAACCCTCCGCTTGACGAGAAGAACGCCACTGCCCCCGTCCCCATCTTGATTCGGGTAAAAACAAGCGAGGACGCCGACGAATTGCACAAAATCCTACTGGAGAAGAAGGATGCCTGAGCACCGAGTGTGCCGAGAGCCGCCACGCCGCTGCCTCCCCGCCACCCCGCCACCCCAGCCTCGCTTTCCTTCCTACTTTGACATTCTAAGGACTTCTAGACAACTTAAAACTTTTGTGAGGAAGATTAAGGCCAATAAAACCTTTCAAAGTTAAGTGTCAAACAACTATTCTCCCTTCTTAAGAACCAATTGCAAAATACTTTGGGAATTTTGGGGAGATTTTTTTTTTTAATGTTCACTTATTGATTAAACTAAGCATAAGTGATTTCTTGATGGACTGGGATCAGGGTACCAGTTAGCTCCTTCTGATAATCCGGTGAGGCCTCCGTGGCGGCCTTCTGCCCACACCCCTTGCCCCTCTGAACGGACTCGGCCAGGCGCTGTGTCAGGTGCTGTCCGCTGCTTCGGTCTGCTGCTGTCCACTGCGCTGTGGGTCTCTGCACTGCGGAGCTGGTCACCTGCCGCGGGCAGACGCTGCCCTTCACCCTGCGATCAACCCTGCTTTACCAGAATCCAGGCACGGCTGCTTCGTTGTAAAAAGGGTGGAAGTGAAGGAGGCCAGAGTGTTCTAGGGTGGTGCTGTTTTTGTTTTTGTTTTTTGTGAGGTGTTGTCACTTCAGCCCTGAGACAGTCTGGAAGGGAGGGACGCCAGGAATGGGTTTTTAAAAGCACAAATTTGGTATCTTATTATTTCTAGACCATGAAAAAAACCCTTATGAAGGAGAGTCAGTGTGAAACCGCATTAAACAGGAAGTGGGGCGCACAGCCATTGTACCGTGGGCCCCGTGGACGTACACAGGAGCCATTGAATTCGCCAGCAGACCGAGGACGATGGGAAGGAAGATTGTGGGATTCTGCCTTTAGCTTAGCAGTCTGGTACGCATTTGCTATCTGACTGACACCTTACTTTAAAAGTGAGATACTCAGGAGCCCGTTTGGACAAAAGCCATGTGAAGCACAGTGGCTGGCTGGCAGCACTGCCGTCTGCAGATGGTACAGAGCTGAGACTAAGTGTGTGTCCCAGTTGGTTGCCATGCCAGGCCGGCTCCAGATCTTTCAAGCCCGGCCGGTGCCCAGGGGTTCATAACCTGCACGCTTGCCTCTCTGCTATATCGTGATCCTACGGGAGAGCCAGCAGAGTGGCTGGAGGGGGTGGTGGCTTTTTGGAACTGCAGTCTCTTGATGTAAGCTGTGTGGAGTGTTAGGATGGCACCTGGTTAACTTCAGATGGAAGGTCATGGGACACGGCCATCATGGGATTGTTATGTTGCTTGTGCTGGTTCTGAGCCCAGTGTGAGAGTTTGGCAGTGTGTAGCTTTGGTAAGTAGGACATGGTCCAGGTCTTAGCTCTGGTGTTTTGCATTTACATTGTAGAACTGAGAGTGCTTATGACTCGGTTAGTAGATTTACAGTAAGGAAGTGGTCGATAGGATAAAAATAGCAATGGCCCGGTCCTATTCACATTAGAGAGATTCATCTAACATTTTTGTGTGTGCTAATACTGGGACATGAACTCAGGACCTGAGCACTGACCTTTAGCATTTTTACGCTCTACCATTTGAGCCACAGCTCCATTTCCAGCAGGGTTTTTTTTTTTTTTTGTATTGTTTTTGGTCATTAGAGATGTCTCAGATTTTCCCGCCCAGGCTGACTTTGAACCATGATCCTCAGATCTCAGCCTCCTGTGCCTGGCCTGTAACTTTCTCAAAGAGGAAGGGAACACAGAACATTACAGCTTAGCCACACATGCGTGTGTCACGCTTGCTACCCTGCGTATGCAGTATTTACAGAAAACAATATGGGAAGGTTATGATTGGATTTCTCCCCTTACCTCCCCCCCCCTCCAAGGTTATTTTTAAATGGCTGGATATGTGGTTTCCCTTTTTCCTGACATTCCCTGCAAATGTTTGCTGCTAAGATTATCACTGTTGAGGTGAAAATTACAGGGGAAAATGTGATCTGTATACCATAATTGACAATGTGACATTTCCTTGATCTCTGATGCTTTAGGAACTTGTTGCTCTCTACCCATATGAGAGTCTGACTGTGTGCATTTGGTTGTAATTGTATCTCGTTACTTGGGGAAGGTGCAGGGCACCGTCTGTGTTCCCCATCTTTGTGAGCCGTGAATTGACTCTCATAGTGATGTTAGTTTTAATACAGTGGTAGAAAATTTTAAATGTCTAATGTGAAGTGAAATTTTACTCTTGGTTTAAAGGTCTCTGAGTTGTGACATGGATTTGGTCTAAGGTGAGTTTTTGTTCTGTTGGGTTTTTATTCTGAGTGGAACTCCATCCTCACAATACTAAGTGTCCCTGTGGCCTTTCTTTCCAGAAGCAGGCATCAGCGTTTCTGTTTGCACATTCCCAGGAAGCAAAAAAAATGAGTTCTGCTGTCTTCCTTTTTAGCATCAACACTGGAAACATGTCCAGGGTTTTTAAAGGACTTTAGATTGTGTTTTACCTAGAGATGCTAGTCAGACCGTCCGTGGATTGCTTTTCTTCAGGACGGTTATTCTGTTCTACAATCTCAATTCTAAATCATATTTTTATATGCTGCATGCCAAAAAATAATTTAACAAACTACCTGTTGTAGGTGGAGAGAAACAATTCACCTACTGCTCTTAGAGCTGAGAGACATATTCACTGAGCGCCTTCTCCATGTGGTTAAAGGTAACAGGTTTGTTCTGAGCATATCAGGCAAATAGTTCTGGAGTCACTAGCCTGATGCCCTTAGAAACCCACTCTGGACCTTAGTCTCCTCATTCTGAAAGTGGGAATTGTAACAACAGACCAGTGGCACAGAGCTTGTGTACGGTCAGAAGCTCCTCCAAAATGGGCAGGTTTCCGAGCCTGCGCGCTGAGCACAAGGCCCCTAGCCGCATGCTCTGGCCAAGTGCTGTGGTGGTCGGCACCAAGGACTGTCCATTCCATGCAGATGCAATTGTAAGGGAAGCATACAACTTCTCCACAAGCAAATGGATTAATTGCTGGCTTTTTAAATAGGAAATCGCTTTCTAAAACTAAAACAACTTGAATTGTCCACCAATAAAATCTCAGTTTGTGTTAGTTTTTGAATGATCCTATTGAGAAGTGTAACAATCCGTCAATGTGAATAAATGGGAAGTAAAGAAATCAGTGTCTCATGTTTCCCTCTGATGTTTCTCTGTGATTCACTGGGCGTTGACACAAGCCTGGCAATGTCCAGAAACTTCCTGAAATGACAGGTTGACTTGGAGGCAAGCAAGCGGGAGGCTCCTGAGGCTGAGGGTCAGGACGGGCTTACGATCAGATTGGCCATTGCACACAGCACAGTGTTGGGGCTTCAGGGAGTGGCTACGTCCTCAAGTAGACTTGGACCCATGAATGGGCGGCGTGAGATTCCATTTCCCTTGCAGAAGCAGTGACTGGGGTTTGTGTTCAAGTGTGTATCTCTACTGAGCTAAGAACATTTTAAAACAGCCTCAAAATGATGCTTTGAAATTACACAATTTAGAACATTTGCTTGAGTTAATAAGTTTACATTTTTGATCCAGAAAACCTTTTCAGGCAATAACATTGTTCTAATACAATTAATAGAATTTTGGGTCTTTGTGTGTCACTGGGGTTGAACTTGGCTCTTCGCTTGGCCTGCTTTGCTTGGCTGGTGGTCTGCCACTTGAGCCACACCTCCAGTCTTGTTTTCCCAGTCATTCTGACGAAGTCTCATGGACTTTTCTACCTAGGCTGGCCTCAAACCATAAACCCCCGGAACTCGGCCTCCTGAGGGACCAGGATTACACACGTGAGCCACTGACCCGGCAATGCCCATTCTTTTTGAGGTTTCCTATTTCAGCATTTATATACATATTTTCTGGTTTTAAAAAAAACTGCCACAAAGACCAGGTGCTGGTGGCTCGGGCCTGTCATCCTAGCTACACAGGAGGCTGAGATCTGAGGATCGCGGCCAGCCTGGACAGGAAAGGCCATGAGACTATCTCCAATTAACTGCCAAAAAGTCAGAAATGAGCGCAAAATCTTAGGGACAGTGCAGGCCCTGAGTTCAAGCCCCAGGACTGGTTAAAAAGACAAAAAAACAGGAAGACTGGGTCAGCCATGGGAATGCTTCCCGCTGTGCTGTGCTGAGCTGAGAAGGGGCCACCTGGGAAGCCCAGTGGCGCCTGCGCTGTAGCAGGCCTGCGGCCCATCTCGGCCCAGACCAGCCGCCCCGCAGCACCGTGAGCCCGGCCCTGCCCTGCTGCCCCCGGACTTGAACCTCAGCTGCTTAGGTTGGGATGAGATTCACATAGCAGAGCCAGCCTTGGTTCAGTGGCTTTCAGTACCTCCATAGCCGCACAAGCATCACCCTGGCTGCATCCCCAAAGACTGCCCAGCCACCCGGCTGGCACGGGCCGTCCCACAGGGGCAGACCCAGTAAGCAGCCTCGGCTCCCAACCCCGTCCTGGAGCTGTGTGGGCTCCCTCCAGAACAGAACCACTCTTGGTGTCTGGAACTGGCTAGTCTTTTGAGCAAAACATCCAAACATAATCAACGTTCACTAAAAATCATGATTATTTCAAACTGAGCAACCTAATTGTTTTATTAAAGGAAGATTCCAAAGTGAAAGCCTTCCATCACACAGAGGAAAGAAACATCTGGCTAACGCGGCTGCCGGGAGGCAGGCGGAGCAGCTCCTTCACCAGCCCTTTCCCGCGCTTCCACATCACGCATTTACAGCAGGTCTCCAGGCAACATGGATGTATGCAATGGGCAGGGTCGATCACATTTCCCTCCCACAGTTCCTGTCACAGGCACATGGGTGAGGAGCCAAGACCTGAGAGTAACAGGAATGAGGCCTCCAAGGCAGGCTCCTCCTAAACACACTGCAGGCCAGTTTTAAAAGGTCTTAACAAGAGGTCAGGCAGGACACCAAGATGATCTTGAGACCTGGCTGCATTCAGTTACCTCTCTCTCTAACTCCCTGCTGGTGGCCTTCCGTCCCCTGGTGGTATGAGGAGTCCGTGTGGCCACACGGTGGCCTTGAGGCTGGCTCTCCCCAGCCTGAGAGCAGACAGACAGCTCTGGCACGCGCTCCTTCAGCAGCCTACAGAGCGGCAGGAGAGGCAGGGCAGGCAGGAGGGCCACCTCCGCTACGCCAGACACAGCACGGGTCACATGATCAGCCGCCAACATTTTTTTGGTGTCAAAACAGTACTTTGTGTAAACGTTTCAAAAGAAAACTCAGGGCCCTGTGGGGCAAAATTCAATCATTTTACTACTGCTTTGCTTTAATGTCTGCAATGAATCTGAAATGGGTAGAATAGGAAAAAAACAAAAACTAGGTACAGACTAGGAGGAAACCAGAAGGGAAAGTAAGCTGAGCATCCAGTATGCAAAGCGAATTTGCAAAGCAGCAAAATCAGAAAGCATCAAGGACAGCTGAGCACCAGTGCGCCCTCATGACGGCTGGTCACAGATGTGGAAGGTGGCACCCGTTGGTGGTACATCGTTGTACGGGACTGCCACTGGCAATTAGCACACTAATATATTCAATGTACACCATCGCGGTGTTTGTGCCAATGTATTTGCACAGAATTCCCAAGGTAGGCCTCAACGTTGTCTGTAGATCTTTACCTTCCCACACAGGGTGTCTGGAAACCACAAGGGCTCACTACTTGTACCGAAACCTGTGGATTAGGAAGAGAGGCCCAGAGAAGACAAGACTGAGGCAGCAAGAGGCGGCGCTGGAGGACTTGGCCTGCGATCTGTCTGTTGGCTGATTCCCCCCGCCCGGTCCCAAACTGCAAACACAGAGCTGCACACCCAGGCTTCCTTCGCTTCCCAGTGCCGGGGCTTCTGGTGCTGCACACGGTGCGTGGTGGCTGTCAGGAGCCTTCTCCACAGAGGGCCACGTCAGGTCGTGTCTGTACCAAACCAGTTAGAAAGAAAGGAAGGGGTCTCCCAGTCCTCTCCCTGAAGGGCATGGAGCCTCCTGGCCTATGAGCAGCTCTCCCTTTGAGATGAGCGGAGCCTCCAAAGGCTACTTTCATTCAAGATCAGGCCCTTGCTCGTCCTTATTGTGTTAGAAGGCCAGGTTTACCAGAAGCTATTTTGCCTTCTTACACAGAGGCAGCCTCAGCAAACAATTACAGCAGTGACAGCTGCTGAATTCCATTGCAGGCTGGCAGGCTTGCTCCGGTCCTGGGAGCCCCTAAAGATGTCGAGGGTATGTGTGTGTGTGCACATGCATGCATGCACACCAGTCCTGGGGCTTAAATTGAAGTCCCTGAATATTGTTTTGCTCAAGGCTAACACTACCACTTAAGACACGGCTCCATTCCTAGCTTTTCTGGTGGTTAACTGGAGATGAGTCACAGAATTTTCTGCCTGTGCTAGCTTCAAACTGTAATCCTCAGATCTCAGCCTCCTGAGTAGCTAGGTTTACAGTCATAAGCCACCATTGCCCAACACCCCTAAAGATTTTAACCAGCTTTTTTTTTTTCTCGGGCATGGGGCTTGAACTCTGGGTCTGAGCACTGTCCCTGAGCTCTTCAGCTTAAGGTGAGCGCTCTACCACTTGAGCCACAGTGCCACTTCCAGTTTTTGGAGTGATTTATTGGAGATAAGAGTCTCATGGACTTCCGTGCCAGGGCTGGCTCTGAACCACGATCCTCAGATCTCAGCCTCCTGCATAGCTAGGATTATAGGCGCGAGCCACCGGTGCCCGGCGTTCACCAGCCATTTAAAACCACCAGGACACTGCCAAATGCCTACATCTGGGTTTCAATCCCTAGGGTGCACTGTCAGCAGAGGAACTGGAAGGTCTTTGAATGAGAACAAAGCTTTGCCTGCATTTACCTAAGTCTTCTAGCTAGTTGATGACTGAAACGTCTGAAACAGATCCTTGGCGCTGGCTGCAAGCACAGAAACGCACCTTCCTGTTCCCACTCGGTTAACCCGAAGCTCCGTGAGCTGGCCAGCCCGCCAGGTGCCTGCGTGCCAGCCAGGGCCCTGCTCGCCCGAGAAGCTGCCTGGAGGCCGGGCAGGCCGTGGAGGCCCTGCTGCTTCCCACCCTCCGGGCTACTTCCCCATGACCCGCTGACGGGGCCTCTGTGGGGTGAGCCTTTCTGAGCCAACAAGTGTTGAAAGGTCTAAGCGGAAACACCGATAAACTGTGACTTTCTTCTAAAACAAACAAAAACAAGAGGAAATCAGAAGGAACATGGTTTTCCTCTCTGTGTCCCATAAGCTGACAGCTACATTTCCTGCTAGGGAATTCATTCCAATTCTCACGGAAGGTCTGTCTGGGCATGCCTGCGTCATCCTCATCTTGTACAGAAGACAGGTGTGTCCCCAGGAAAACCAAAGACGGCCTTCAGGGAGCAAATCTGTCAGCACCAGACCTCTGAGTCCTGCTTCAGAAAACCATTTTAGGACAAAGTCTCACTAGATAACCTAGGCTGGCCTCACACCCCCCCTCCCCCTCCCCGCCCCTGCGCTGGGCACACCATGCTCAGCTCTCTATCACTTTTTGGCTGATGTCAGTACTTTGAAAAGCAAACTTAAAAGTGACAGCTCACAGTCTAGTTATCGAGTGCCTGCGAGCAAGTCTCACACTCAGGACCAGAAGTGCTACCTGGAGAAGAATTTAAAGACTGAGAAAGGTAGATGCAGCTGAGCGTCTGGCCATGTGTGCGGCAGTGCTGAGTGGTCTGGCCGTGGCAGGGCCTCTTGTCCAGCTTGACTTGAGCCACTGCGCCTCACAGCTCCACTCTGTTTCCTCAGCAGCAACATCAGCGCTCCCTGGACATCTGGGATGGGCCTGCCTGCCACAGGCGCCACACATTGTGATCCAATCCCGAGGGATGTCCCTGGGTAGCACATCCTCACATTCCTGCACCTGACCCCACAATCACCCCATCTTACAGAGAGCCAGCCCTTCCTGGGTCCAGCCAGGAGTGCCCGGCGGAGCCTCGGAGCTGGACCTGGCTCCACAGGCGCCCTGGAGGCTTCTCACTCCGTGCATGTAGGGGCCACTGCATTGCTGCCAGGCCTGGACCACCCCGCCCTCCCAGGGAGTCTGGTCAGGACTATGTTCCTCCTGAGCTCCCAGGCAGTCCAGGGAGGCAAAGGTCCGGAAGCCGTTCGGTGCTGGCCAC